TCAACCTCATTGCCTATCACATTTAAAATATAAAAATCAAAGCAGCTGCAACATACTTTTGAAGCTTTCAATGACAGTATCCTTAAAATCTTCCTGTTTCAGCCACTCCAAAACAAAGTCCACGTTTTTGTCTGTAAATTGGTCCATAAGTACAGCAAGATGAACAAAAAGAGATGAAAGAACAACTTGAACAAGTCTAGTAACTGGGGACAATGGCAGCATAGATCTCTCGCAAGCAGCTGTATCGTGTTAATTGGAATTTGGAAAAAGGCGCATGCGCACAAAATGACTTGGGAGGGGCAAATTGTTATCACCTTGGTTACAACCGTTACTTGTTATTAATAAAATGGCGGCTGCTCTTCAACTACCTCGGCGTCAACTACATAGCTGTTGGCTTTGTGATTCCTTTGTTTCCTCGTCTTTTTCAGACATAGTTCGACATATAGGATCAATTCATTCACACTATCCAAATTTCAGGGTTTCTTGTGGTATTTGTGGCTGTGTGGCTCAATTTCATAATTTCGTAACATATAAATCTCACTTGTACAAGAATCATCTTGCTGTCTTGAAAGGCCAGTCTGAACCACATTTATCTTTCTTCAATTCGTTACCATCACAAGTCAATGAAGGTACTTTGTTGTAACTTGAGTTTACACTGCTTTATTCACTGAATTTTAGACCATTGGGAGGCTCGGCATGATGATAATACTGAACAGATATTTGAAATTCAATGCAGCATTAATGAAGATTCTGATGATGATGAAATAGAGGAGCATATTTTCAATTCCCAGCCATTAGAAGATGATGACGATGAAGCTACTAAGAAGTCAAAAGCTTTGTTTATTTTAAAGACATCAGAAGTGAGGAAATTGACTCTTACTGCTGTTAATAACATTTTGGGAGATGTACAACAACTTATTGAAGTAGCACTTACTGATGCACAGAAGAAAACCCAAAGGTCTCTCATGTCTTGTGGGATTGATGTTTCTATAGTACCTGATTTTGAAGCTAATTTTACTTCTGCAATGAAGCCATTTGACGGAATCGATACGGAGTACTTACAGATGAAATACTTCAAGGAAACTTTAGGTCTTATTGTGAGTTTGCAATTATTTCATAATTATTTATAATGGCATTACAGGAGCCACGTGAAATAATTTTAGGTTCTAGTGTGTTTTTTAACTCATCTGGATTAAAGCGTAATTTTGATAAATTTTATTATGTCCCCTTTAAGGCTACTATACAGAGCTTGATGAATTCTGCTTTTCTACTAGATCAAGTAAGAACTCAATGCATGGTTACATGTACATTACATTAAACCATTTCTTAATTCAGATTTCTTCTCCTCATTCATCGAATGATTATATTATGGAAGATTACTGTGACGGGGACCAATTTCATACTCACCCACTATTTTCTTGTGATCCATATTCATTGCAAGTCATTTTGTATTACGATGACATGGAAGTTGTCAATCCTTTAGGGTCCAACACTAAAACACACAAACTTGGTATGTCATGTTTATGTATGCATTTACAGTGCACTAACATGCACATGTGCATGTACATGATAATGATTAACGGCATATCATATGCTACCATTCGCTTCTTTAGGAATGTTTTATTTTACTCTTGGTAATATTCATCCTTACTACCGGTCCACTGTTCGGCATATATATCTACTAAGCATTGCTTATACTTTAGACATTGAAAAGTATGGAATTGATGAAATATTGAAACCTTTTATGAATGAGATAAAGGAATTTGAAGAGGTTTGTTAAGAATGTACGTACATGTATAACACATATATGTACATATTTTATAGGACTGTGGTTGTGAAATTTCTGTTAATGGTTTTTCGCAATACCTACGAGGCAGTCTTTCTGTTTGTTGTGCAGACAATTTGGCAAGCCAATTATTAGGTGGGTTTAAAGCTCTTAATGCAGCATTAAGAAAATGTCGCTGGTGTATGGGCACACAATCATTAATTCAAACTGAGGTATGCTTGTATTTTTGAGATTTACATGCATATGTGATTATGTATACATACTAGTTTCGTGAGCAGTACTTCCTGCGCAGAGATCGGAACTCATATAAAAAGCATTGTCAATACCTTGATGGTCCTTTACATGATCACTTATCCACCACTTACGGAATTTCTCGGAATTCTATTTTAAATAGTTCCAAGTATTTTCACTGTGCAGATGGTCTTCCTCCTGATTGTATGCACGATGTATTAGAGGGAGTTTTACCTTACACTGTGAAATTATTATTGCTTACTTTTATTCAACACAAGCACTACTTTACTCTCGAAGAGTTTAATGATAGAATTTGTTACTTTCCATTTGGTGCTTGTGAATCTGAGAAGCCAGCAACAATTTCAAGTACATCATTGATGTCTAGTGACAAGTCATTGAGGCAATCAGGTATAATTATTATACAAAATTTGTTTATTAATACATGTGTTGTTCTTTATTAGCAACTGAAATGTGGTGTCTTGGGCGCTATCTTCCCTTGTTGATTGGTGATTTAGTGTCAGAAGATGATGAGCACTGGTCTAACATGCTTACTTTGTGTGAAATTGTTGATAACATATTTGGTCCAAAGTGCAGCAGCAAAAGTTTAGATCATTTAGACCATCTTATCCGGCTGTTTTTGACACAATTTAAGACTCTGTATCCAGATCAAAGCATAATTCCTAAGATGCATTATCTTATTCATTACCCCAGTTGTATGAGAAGGTTAGCTAGTGTTTTATAATCATTGCTATAATATTCATTATTGGCATAGGTTTGGCCCATTAAGCAGGCATTGGTGTATGCGTTTTGAGGCAAAGAATAATTATTTTAAGGAGATGGCTCATGTTATTGGCAACTACAAGAATATAGCTAAAACCCTATCTTTGAGACACCAACGTTTAAGTTGTTAC